TTAAGTCATCGAGCTGACACACCTGATAGAAGTGGAACTAGCATTTGGAAAGATTTCCATGGTTTGACTTTACTGCTGAGCTCTGGTTGTGTGTGCATGTACAGTATGCAGCTGCAACAGAATACATTCATTCACTGTTCGTTGTTGCATGTAGGACACGCCCACTCTGGCTCAGTGGCCGACATCAGAGTGAGCAAACAGAACTTTGAGGACGCCTTCAAGAAAGTTCACCCATCTGTGTCCAAAAAGGTAAAGTGTGAACAGAACAGTTGTTGCTCCAGTTGATCCGGTCACATATGGAATAGAGCAAGTTGTCAGGCCAAAGCCAGTTAAATGGGCCACTAGGGCTTTTAAAAGGCCGGGCATCACTTGGTAGTGTAGATGCAATATCATACCTGACCTGGGGGGTATTGCATAACACCAAGATAAGGGATTAAGCCTACAACGCAGCTTACTTCCTTCACACTGGCAGAAAATCATAAGTGAAACTAGAGAACTAACATCTAAACACCAGCAACAAATAGGCTTGTGGCCTGTTGACAGGGTGTGTCCTCACCTGGAACAGTCAGCAAGCTAGTGCTTACTGAGGAGGGACAGGAGAGCCACAGCTTTTTGTGCAGAAACCACGACCATGACACTTCTGCAATTGCCTGTGTTCTCTGCAGGACCAGAGGATGTACGAGCAGCTCAGAGAATCCCTCGGCCAGTAGCTGCGAGAGCAGAGCCACAGACCTCAGCAGCAACCGCTCACCTCTAACACTGACTTAGTTATATCATGTATGGATACACATTTTATTATGGTGCAATCATAATACTGACTCCTGCTTTTATAATAAAAAAATGGCCTGTATTACCTTTTCATTCTCATCAGATATACAAGTGAGTTACTGTTTTGCCACTAGGCTCTTGTCCATTCAGCCACTGTTTAACTACACACATGCTACTGATAGCTGGAGTTTACACATACACACTGTATTTTATCAGACTTGGCAGATTGTTGCGGTTCAGTTTGAATCAACATGTTGTATGATCTCCCAGAGCTCAATGGTAGACTGTGCCAAATTCAGATTTATTTGTATAGTGCCAAATCACAACGAGGACCAGGACACTTTACAAAGTAAGGTCTAGACCTTACTATTATTATAATAGAGGGCAGCCCAACAAATCCCCCCTGAGCAGCACTTGGCGGCAGCAGGGAGGAAAAACTCCCTTTAACACCGTGGTTCTCAAAGTGTGGGGAATAAAGACATGACAGGTGGGGCGCAATGAACAGAGAAAATTAGAAATGGGTCATTAATACAGGGTAAATTAAAATAACATCAATTCGGGGCCCGGGGGACAAGAGTGGAACCATAGTGCAACAAGAACAGTTTACTGTCGGTATGTTAACGGCCGCGCAACAATATAAGGCAACGTTCACACAGAGGGCCAATGGTGTACGTAGTAGATATAATAATGTAAAGGGATAAGTGTGTTACATGGACCACAAAAAAGTAGGCGATTCAAGCAGACAAAGAAACAGGCAGTAGCCTTATCAATGTGTGTCCATGTGTGTCTTGTGTCTTAAACCACTGGCAGCAGACAGCATGAGACCCAACAAATTAAGAAGACATTTAGAGACAACACACCCCAGTCACGTTAA